AATCTGTTTTGATTGATCGTGAATTGGAGGTCACGTTGGAATCATGTTGGAATATTGGATGATAGACTAGTATCGGAAACATTGAACAAAAAATTTTCACCGTTTGTACGAGACCGATGTCACAGGGATATTTCCAGGTTTTAATTACTAACTAACACACTGCATAATGTAATGACAAGCTTAGGCACTCATTTGTGAATTTGAAAGAAAAGACAAACATAACTCACTTACTCCAAAGGATACTATTTTATCGCTTACGAAGTTTGACGACATTGCCATTGTATAAGAAGAAACATTTTAATAAGCCACATTCCTTGTTTTTTAGGTTTCCGTACCCAAAAAGTCCGCCTGTATGTCTGTTATCAGGCTACATCTCATGAACCATTTTAGTTAGACAATTGGAATTTTCACTGACAATGTATTTCTGTTGTGACTGTGACAATAAAGAAATACAGAAAAAATATATTTAAAGGGACTCCCATACAAAGAAACGTCATTTATTGCCTGTTTACGGTACATAACTATTCTCGTGTGCGAGTCTGACCTGCATTTAGCCCGTTTTTTAAAGTGCAAATGTAATACATGTGGCACTTTTTCTATGTTCGTGGCCTTTCATATGCAAAATGCTGAAACATTAGGTAATGTACAATTTTTTTGTCCGCAGGCGCAGTTAATAGTCTGAAATCCCTCCAAATACATGTGCCCCGAGCTGTCTTAACCGGTAGGGATGCAGAGTTGATGTGCACATACGAATTGGAAGGTGCACAGCTGTACTCCATAAGGTGGTACAGGAATATGATGGAGTTCTACAGATACGTGCCGAAGGAGTCGCCAGCAACAAAAGTCTTCCCAGTAGCGGAGATCAAAGTCGATGTAAGTTTTTCTTGTAGCTATAATCATAATTATCATCTTCAGCCATTTTACGTCTCCACTGGATTTTTATTTCCTTTGGATGATGGACTGTTTAAGATGGACCATGACCCTCCACGATTGAAGATTGGAGGATATTAACAACTGCAAATGCAGCCGTAATTAAAGGCTTAACGTGACTTCCGAAGCACGTAGTAGCTGGAAATAATAATTTTGTGGTCACCCATCCCGAGACCGAACCTTGCGAAAGCTGCTTAACAACAACGATAATCGCAGGCCGCGGCGTTTTTCCACTACGTCACCGAGCTATTACATCTATAATATATAAATCAAATAAGATCTAACATCATTGTTCAGATGAAAGTCTAGACCTCACACACATTATTTCTTAATTCAAATTTTCACAGGATATACATATAGTGAATAGTGTAATGGATATTTATGACAAAAAGGCACATAACAAGTGCTTGTGACAACGTCTTAATGGCAATAAAATTTGGTCTAGTCAAAAAAGTTGCGGCTACTTAATTTTTACGTCCTACATTTTTCATAATGACGTTAAAATAATCAGCAGATATATTTTTCTTTTGCATGTACAGTACAGGCAAAAACTTTTTCATCTATTTAATGTTATGACTTCATAAATATTTGTATTTATGAATGTTATGTATGCAGAAAGATTAACGAGCAAGCCCTAAGTTGATCGCGGACCCATCAAGACTTGCTAATGCTTTTGTACATTATGAGTTCGGATATCCTTTTCACGTTACATCACGCCTGAAGGTGTAGTTTGGAAGCTCATTTTACTGTCCGCTGCGGAACATGTTTCTATAGTTTATTTTTGGTAACATTATTTGAATGAGTTCGTGATATATCCATTTTAATATATTGTTGTTTGTAGTTCTGATTTTGATAACGCGATAGCACTTAAATGTACTGAAATGACTAATTTAATTTTCGCCAGCTACTTTGTGTTTCTATCAACGGGCCAAATAACTAGTGTTTATAAATAGTACTACTTGAAGTTATTATCAATTATAAAAATAAGTATAAGGCGGCTAAAACATGATCCTCTGACGTAAGTTCAATTAGTAATTGTGATTGATGGTGTAAGGTAGCCATTAATAAAGTGAGTTCCATAGAAAATATATAGTATTTATTTATATTATTTAATCTTTCTTTAAATAAAGTTTTAAGTTAATAGTTGGCAGCACGTTTTTATTCTCAAAACTGACATTGACCTATTTGATTAATTGAAAAATAATAGAAAAATTGACCCGATTTCAAATTACAATAAGTGAGAAATAATACTTATCTTAAAAGCGGTTAATTTTTTTAAGAAACATTGAAGACGGGCTGATGTTTCCCTTAGTGAATTAAATATTAACTGCCTGTAAAAAAATTGAGGTAACAAACATCACGCATACTTGATGCAAATTTAAGACATATAGTTTTCTCATAGATGCCAATCTCAATGCCAGATCTGAACCAGATTACACCACACGGCAAGCATTAGCTTTCAAATAAAGAAAGAATCATTAAAATCGGTACACCCAATAAAAAGTTACGAGGTAACAAACAGAAAAAAACCAGTCGAATTGATAATCTCCTTCTTTTTGAAGTCGGTAAAAAAAATTTGATTCAATGTCACAGATTCAACAAAACCTGATTAATCGTCTTTTGTCTTCTTTTTTTTATAGAAATTAAGAGCCTATAAACACGTTTTACATGTTTTTCCTTGGCTTAAGGTAAGAAGCACGTGTAGAAAACATAATTCCAATATGTAATTTCGTTTGCAGGCCTTGATCGGATTGAGGTGTCGGGATTTTTATTTGACACGAATTTTCAATATGTATTGGACAGGCTTCGTCGTCTGAGCTTTTTTTAATTTCAACCGTATTTTATAACATTTTCTATTAATATAATAAACCTCTTTCTGACTTAGAGTGAAAGGAATAGTTTTCAGAATATTATAGTGCCTACAATCATTTTGATCTTGAGTAAGTAAATAATAGTTTGTGTGACAAATAATCTGTGGCAATATTCTTCGTTAATAGTACTATTAGCGTAGTTAGATTGCAATATGTTTTTTGTATGTTTTTTTTACATGAAACTGAATAGTTTTTTTACGCCAATTACAAAAATAATTGTCGTTTTGTATGTAGCATCTCTAGTTTTTCAACTATGGAATGACAGGATATTCAAAAAATACACATAGCTTAGGGAATAAAAATTTATTAAATATACTAGCTGTGCCCTCGACTTCGTCTGCGTGGGAAGTATTGTGGTAGAATATTTTTTTCCTATGAATGCAGACGAATCGAATAAGATCAATGGGCCATAACCCACTACGCGGGCTTAATGCGGATCGGTGGGTGTTAACGTTGCTGATGCAGCCAGGACTAACGGCTTAACGTGCATTATGCCAGTGTTGTGCGCAGTGTTCAAGATAATAATGTTTTGGTCACCCATCCTGTAAACGGTCCTTACGACTGTTATTTTTCTATTTTTTTCTCGTTTCTCGCGCTCTGGTTGTTGCTTGTTTCTGAGCGTTTTATTCGTACCTTTAAACGGTCCTTCTTTTGTTTTTGATCTTTTTAAATTATTATTATTTATCTAGTTGTATGCACAATCGGCTATTTATTGTTCTATTTTTCATGTAATGGTAGTTTGCGTGGAAGAAATCGCTGGCTAGCGATGAGTTTGTCGTTTGTACTTATTTATGTAAAATAAGTATTCATGTATGTCCTTGTTGTGCAGTATTTCCTTACTTATTTAACTGCAATTTAAACCGAATGCGCTAACCCACTACGCCACCGGACCCCTTATACCTAAGCTATACTAATATTATAAAGAGAAAAGATTTGGTTGTTTGCATTGAATTTGCTCCAAAACTACTGGAGCGATAGTTTCAAAGCGATTCCGACCTACGGGAAGCTACATCAGACGTGGATGTCATAGGCTATAATTTTGCGGCAAAGTCGTGAGAAACAGCTAGTTCATTATACCCTGTGAAAACTTATCTGCGGTACGCCTGTGGAGTATGAAGGCAACACGGGTTGGCGATAATCGAAACTACTTTCTCGATCTCTATTGTGCAAACTGCGAGCTCATTTAGAGACCAAGCGCATTTCCCTATAAAAAGAAGTTTCATACTCATACCATACTGCATGTATGTAAATGCTTCAGATTCAACTTTATAGTGCATGAGCCTCGCGATGGGCAGTTAAATACGCTTCGCGTTTTTCAGGAGTCTCCCGAGACCGATCGCTTTCTGTCTGATCTCTTTCTTTGTCTATAAAAGTCGGTCAGTACATGTCTGATGGAAGATACTTGGAGTTTTATTTATTTATATAAAAAAATATATACATATTTTAATTTCGACTTTCCACACTCGAAGAAAATCGTCTTCTAAAATACTTCCGTGAGGTGCTTAACTGAACTTCTGTCAGATTTGAACGGCCCTCATCATCATCATCATCAGCCCTTTTACGTCACCAACTGCAGGAGCTCAGGCCTTCCTTATGGATGGTTAAAGACGATGGGCCACGACCCTCCATGCTGGCCCAATGTGGATTGGAGGATATTAACGACTGCAAATTCTACCGGGACCAATCGCTTTATGCGCTTTCCGAAGCTTGGAGTTGCTTGAGATAATATTTTTTGGTCATCCATCCTGTGCCCGACCTTTGTGAAAGTTGCTTTACAACTACAATCGCGGGCCATGGCGCTTATTCACTACGCCACCGAGCTACTCTGAACCGACCTTCAGACTCGCGTAATATTATATGAGTGTTGTGACCAATGAATAAAGCATTGTTTCCAGCAAAGACTGAAAATACCAACTTTGAAGTACGTATCTACAGCAATTTGTATGTAAGAAAAGGGAAAAAAAATAGCAATAAGAGAATAGAAATATATAAATAGAGTTGTCTTTACGTTCTTAACTTCAGTTGACGTGAATCTAAGTTTTTTAACGTCGTGGAAAACCTTCTGCCATTGTCTCTGTTGCCTGGCAAGCAACAGGGGTGAGTAGGATTCTCCTCCGTGAAACCGACAGTGAGCTGCCCGGTGGGTCCCCAGAGGCCTACCCACCAAAACCCGTACTCTACACCCTCTCATGGGAAGCTATGGCCGAGTCACCAGGACACTCAAGTATTGGACCATTGGTCCCCTTGCCTATGGAAAATTGGAGAGACTCGGGTAAATCGAGTGCCTCTCCCAGACAGACGAAACCGTGCAATGCGGGAGCGGCTGCCAACCACCTCCGTTGGTCCCGACGACGACGTGAACCTAATCTGATAAAAATATGCGTTCACTGTAAACTACTCGAGGCTTAATAGCATCATCGGAAGGCTCTTTCCGCTTGTTCTTCTACTCGCATGATCGTATACCACATGTCCATTATAAGCTGAACCATATTTAATATGATTGGCCATATATAAATGAGGTCAACTTACTTCGGAGTTATCAAAATTTTGGAATCTTATTTTTTTATTTGTCATCACACAAATTATCATTTTATAGACAATATTAATTCGTAGCTCGGTATGCGCCACTGCGCACGATCGCTATTGCTAAGCAATTTTCGCAAGAGTTGTTCATGGGATGGGTGACCAACAATTATTAGACAAAGGCCTGAGGCCCTGCAGTTATCAAAGACGAAAATTTAATAAAACAGTAAATATTTCATAGCAATTTTGGCGACCACATCACTTCAAATTGACATAAGTTTTTTATTTGTGAGCCGATTGAAATAAATCTTACACTAAAGAATGCCGCAATATAATAGTGAAAACTGCATTTAAATCGGTTCAGCCGTTTCTGAGATTATCGTGCACAAACGCACAGACAAACAGACAAACCGACAAACAGACAAACAGACAAAAAATTTAAAAATCATTGTTTTGTGTTCTATTACTCTTATAAATGTCCCTCATAACAGTTTTTTTCATATATCTTCAATGTACAGACATCGATCGGTTACGTTTTTATTATAGTATAGATTTATTCAGAGTTAAATTTTCCTTTATATGATTTACTTGCATGAGGTGTGTACTATTAGGATGCTCCAACAATAATCAGCCATCATATTTACGTTCCAGTATTCTTGATATCTCTCCTCCATCGTGCGAATATCCCGGTGGAAGCGCTCCCCATGTTCTTCGCTCAGGTCACCGAGATTTTCAGGGAAACGGTCTAGATGGTTGTGGAGGTATTGAAGTTTGATACTCAAGTTGCATCCAAGCGTTATCATGGTTGTGTTTAAACAACTGTTCAACGTACTGAACATTCAGCCATCACACTTTCTATTTTCCATAAAATTTCTCACAACCCAAACAAATTCTTCCCAAGCACGTTTCTCGATAGCTGTTATATGGCTGATAATTTTTTATCATCTATTAACTTCCTGATTTGAGGGCCATCTAAAATACCAGCTTTGATTTTTTCATTACTCAATTTTGGAAACACTTTTACAATATGTTTAAAGCATCGGTCGGCTTTGTCAAAAGCTTTTACATATTGTTTGATATAATTCGGTCTCTGGATACTAGTGGAGTATTAATCACATTCTGCTTTCCTGGAATCAGAGCCTCCCTAGATGACCAGTCTCTTTTTTCCAGTGCTCAACTTTAGCTCTACTATCCCACAAACATAGGACACACGGATACATTGTGTGCCTAACCCAGAAGAAAATTGTCAATTTTTAAATCGACACATAAAACCCAGCTATGTTCCTTGTACTTGATTTTGTCCAGAACTAAAGATATTACAGGATATTCTTCCTTAACTTTTGTAGAATGAGCTATAGGTAAAGATCCTAGCTTATTGCTATTATGCAGAAGGACACATTTCAGGTTTCGTTTTGACGAATCAATGAACAAAGGCCATTCTACGCACAAAATTTTAATTACACCGCTATTGATAGAAATTATCGACTACTTATGTAAATTCGAGACGGTACCTGTATCTCACTAATTAGAGCTACTACAAAAATCTGAGAGTAAATTCAAAATCAGCACACCCATATTAGTGACAGTAGTGAAACTTCATGCAACTAGCTTGTAAGCATTCTTAAAACGGTTGCAGATTAAGAACCTATCTCTTATGGAATAAGACTAGTGCAAGATCAAAGTGTTATTAATTTGCTGTATCTGATTTTACATCCATATTACACTGTCATTACGTGTTCAACTGAAATTCGTGTTCGGTATGTTTCGAGTTGTACTGTAAGTACATGCTTGAATAATCAAAGGGTCGTGATGGGTTTGTGTTGTAAGCGAGTCTCTGTTATTATAATACTATGTAGATATAATTATGGCGACATATTCAAAATAAGGTCAACTATAATTGTAATACTACTGTTACTACACGACCTGCTTTTGTTATTACTGCAATTTACATTTAAGTAAATATAATAATTTGATTCAGAAACTGGGATGTTATTTTCAGACATCTATAATTCATAAAACCGCGTGGAAATCCGTTCAGTGGTTTTTTTTTATCACATCCATCCACAAATAAGGGCGGGAATCTCCCGTATTTTGTGAAAATTATGCTGGATGAAAGAATGAAATCAATGCACAATATAATAAAGATACAGAACTCGAGAAAATAGAAGATTCTCCTATTCCGATCGTATATTGACGCTGAACGATTTTATTGAACTTCATACAACTATTAACGAATTCGGAATTCAAACTCTTATGTTTTTTACACTTACATCGTTCAATGGACTCAGCATGCATCATGCAGACTATTCAGTACACTAATCGATAGCCAGCACGCGTGCAGTCTATTATTGTTGTAATAATAAAAATACTATACAGTTGTACAAAACTGTCAAATTCAACGACCTCAACGAATTGACAACGTTTAAAATCAATTACAAATTTCACATATTGTAAATGGTAAACTGACGTGCAGTCGTGTGTACAAAGATTTAGATAAAATACACGTTACTATTTATACTTATTCTGCGTAAATCTGAAGTATCTACCCACTACGGTTGACAAGATACAAAAACTCTACAAAGAATCCCCTATTAGGTACGAAACCCCAAAATATATGTATAAAGTTAATCCCGGGATCACAAATATCTGCTACGACTTCTTATTCAAAATATAAAAAATAACTTTTCGTGTTACTGCTTTAGATATTATACTCGTTTATATTCTTGAAAGAGGAAAATAAATGTAATGCATTTTTTATTAATGTCACCGTCAAAACATATAACAATATCGACTAATACGGTAATAATGACAAATTACCTATTATGCTTACACAACATATCGCTTTTCATATGATATTTACTAATTCATCATCATACTACTACACACGACAGTCATATCGATTTATGTGCTTATATATATGTATGAAGTAAATATTCAACTCTCAATGATTTTTCACTATTAAATACAACAAAAATGATTACATAAATTGTATTTTGTCAAATACAAAAGTTTGTTGGATAATAAAACTATGCTTATTCCTAGAAAAATATTCAAGAGAAATGAACAAAAGAATCTTCTTTACATTTCGCATTAATGTTTAGGATGATACACACTAGATGAAAGTGGCTTTAGAGTAATGCTAATTTAGTTATTTGGTATACGAGTCTCGTGTATAGAGTAAATCTATGAAACAGAATACCTACAGATCCGTGGTATCACGCAGTGCTGCCTAAATATAATTGTCGTTTAGTAAAAGCGTCCTCACGGACATCGTCCCGGCGTCCGGACGACGCTGAGTGGGTAGGAGACCCTCCAACCAGGGAGACAGATGCTCTTATAAATGTTACGGGAACCGATCGTTGTGGTGATGTATGGGGGGAGGACTATGTTCAGCAATGGGTGTCGTACGGCTGTTGATGGTAATAATGATAGCGGAGAAGTGCGTGCAGTACGTTATATGGAAGTATGACCTTGCTTCGATGAGAATATTTTATAGACAATCTTATGTTATTTTGCAGGTCGCGGGATCAGATCAGAATAGAGTAATACTCACCGAGGTAGACCGTACTTTGACTGGTGAATACCAGTGCGAAGTATCTGCTGATGCACCACTTTTCCACACAGACATAAAATCAGCAGAAATGGTGGTTGTAGGTAAGTAAAATTCAAATATTAATATTGCATGTGACTATGTTTATTTATTCGTTCACTTTCGGTAGTTATAAAGGAAATTTTGAAATAAATTACGTCTAATAAACTATGATTGATGTGATTCTCATAAGAGTAAAATTCTGAAATTGTTTCTTCTTAAGTTACGGTTTGACCCTTATAAATGTAATATTGTTTTCTCATTTCTGAATACAGTTTATTTTGACGTTATTTATTTGTACAAAATCAATAGAATTACAGTTCCATTTTGTTACTGTAATTGAGTTTTACTCTTATAAGTCAAACTTGTTTAAAATTATTCAGTGAAAGTCAAAATATCTTTCTCGGTTATTTGGCTAACCCGAGTTTAACATTAATTAATTTAAAAGTTGAATCCACATTAGGATATTTTTGCAACTATTTAAATTAATTCTCCGTATTGTCTGTCCGTATTCACGGACCAAAGTCTCACACACCCCTGTCGCTTGCCAGGTTACAGTGGCAGTGCCTAACGCATTTCTTCGGTGGAAAAAACGGATAGATAGATATATCTACATGTCTTAATCTGTTAACCAGTAAACATTTTATAAGTAACAAGTTAACCAGTAGACCATTATCCAAGTAAATACGCCATAAGCATAAAAGCAACAAACGAAAGTAAAATAAAATTGTTGCTAACATTATAAAGATTGAATAAGCATTGAATAATATCTACGGAAACTACACTATATAGAGGGAAAGTCGCGAGAAAACAATTCATATAAATTAATCTATTAGCGCTTGATCAATGTTTATAAAAAGCAACATATCCATAAGAGTATAAAACCTTTAATTAAAAGTTCTGTTCTTTATAATTCGTTTTTGAAGTTTACTAATAAGTACGAGTATTTATAACTTTTGTTTATTTAATATTCTTGAACGGTTGTAAGATTCATAGCAGGATTCCCTCCACCCACAGGCCATGAGAAGTTGAAATACTTCAGACGCTCAATTACCGTCACACCAGAGTTATTACTTTAAGTCGCTTTACCTTTTTTGTTGCACGAACAATAAAGTACCTTTTTAATCTGTGCAGTTTTAAAAATATAAAGACTGAACTTCGATCACAGTGTAGTAACAGCAGTATAATTATATCTTATCTAGTTTTTCAGACGTCAGGTTTTATTAAATATTAAATTAAAGCACACATTTGTAATATAATATTATTAACATTTAACCAGCTGACTAAGCTAATAGCTTATTTTATTAATGTCACAAAACCTGATTTTGTTTCAATTTCTGTTCTTAACACCTACTTTGTAACTATTGTATATTTGATGGGTAAAATTTACTTACACGCTACTTGCTTATTTACTAACATTTACCCAGGATTGAATATTAAACTTTTTTATTATTAATTTTCCATTTGTTATATATAAATTTATGAACAATTACGATGGCTACATTTTTAACCTTCAATCTTGGATGAATGTTACTAAATAGTAGTATTCGTTATCTTGCCCATATCAATTGACATGTGCTTTTCCACAACTGTAACAATATTATTAATAGAAATTTATGACATAAAGCTTTATAAATAAATTTAGGTATAAAAATAACCAAATGCCAATTACATAGAAAAAAACAAATGTTATCTATTATAACCATAAATTGTTGTGTACAGTTTACTATAGATATTTTACATTCAATTACAGTTACATAGTACGGTAGTTCTACTGCTAATATTTATTTACTGTGGCTTGAGCTAAGCCATCTAAATAAATAATTACTATACCCTCGCACCGAAGAGATATGGGCTTAATGACTACAGTTAAGATTTTTTTGTTTTCTTATAATTTGTTTTGTACCTTATAAAATTTTGCCAGTGTACAGAACGAGGGTTGTTATTTGTTTTTCACCTCTGATTTAATGGTGGAGGTGAGCATTCTTGTACAGAACTTTTTAAATGTTGTTTGTTTTTCAAAATTAACTTGGCCTATTTTTAAATAAAGTATGTCTTTGTTTATACACTGTATTTATGGTAACCCAAGAAAATTTTAATTTAGATTTGTAAAAATGTGTACAGACAACAGCATATCAAGTAATAATGCAATGAATTCGTATAATCCTATTTTCAGTAAGTTTTCACGTATTAATGTATAATTTACATTGAACATTTATACGTGAAAACTAATTATTTAAGAAGTACATTTATTTTTTTCTGACGTAAGAACATTGATATTATTGCATGTTGATGAGAATAACTACTATTTTTGTATTCTGTTGTCGTTTACTTTCAATCTTTAAAAATAAAAATTAGTCACAAAACAATACATTAATTGCTCAGATCCTCAGATTAAAACAACGAAGGTATCACAACACATAGAAAAACTCATTTTCGCACTAGACAAATTGGATCTTTGGAACTTAAATTAAATCAACCTTTTAGCTACCGAACCTATTGTAGACATCATAATGTTATAAAATAAAGTCATGGCAGACTGGCCCATTCCTTACGCCTGTAACCCACAGCATAGTTCCAAACCAATAAAAATGAGTAAAAACTTTTTCGGGCCGCTCATCTACCAAAGCTCATATCGGGACGTCCGTTTACCATCTGCCTTTTCAATATTCCCATTTTGAGAATCTTTTATTAGGACCGGATGAAATATTGCATATTCACAAGCCGGCTGCCATTTTTGGCGGAAAACACCGTTTGGTTTCAATTTACTCCACCCTTTGTTTTAATTTGGAATTTTCGTAAATTCGCTACATCTAGCATCCTCTTTTGTCTGCTATGCGTCGAAGTGACACATGTTTTTCTTATTTTTTTAATAACCCAAAAGTTGCGAGTTCTGTATTTTGTACATGGCCTGCTCTCTCAATTCGGCATTCTGACATACTGCGGTATGAATTTGTGGAATTGTTAACGAACAGTTTCCACATGGGGCTTTCGGCGGTTTTACGAATTCATCTGTGATTAAATGCTCTTGTAATTCTCGGCCAATTGAATGAAAAAGGTCGTTTTAATTAATGCCAGTTAAATATTAATAAATGATGTATGATATTTCATAATTACGCCTATTTATCCGTAAACTTTAAGCGTACCAAATTAACATGATATTTTCAGTCCTAGTATTTTATCGTGATACACGTAGTTCGAGAGACAGAATTATAAATATATTCCCCCATCTGTTATTTAATTATGAGAATTTTTTTATCACAAATAGACTGCTAAGCTAAATCCAAAAGTCATCATTGTAGTTACTTTCATAAGTTTCTTATTATTGATTGCCCAAATAAAGAAAATCGTGCATTGATTTAAATAACACGCTAAGAGAGCCATTTTTCCGTTTAGGATTATTTTGAGGTTATCAGGTTCAGCATGTCAAGTTAGACGAATCTGTCAAGTTTCTTCACTTGATTTTTAACCTTATCGCATTAGGGTTACAGTTGAAAATTAATTGCGAATATTTGAGATTTCGTTTAGGATTTCTAATCATTTTATAGTTTCAATTGCGTAGTTTGGTCTCGCGAATTCTTATGTGCTAATTTAATAAAATCACAAAAATTTGGAAATTTTTAGAATCTGAGTATAAAGTCTCCTGAACGAAAACCATTTTAATTATATTATTTCCTCATTCTATATTTTCGTGCAATTCTAAGAGAGACTATTTTCGCCTCTGCATGTCTTCGTTGTCGATTTGGGGGAATTGGAACTGCACACAGTAATTACAATTATCAATAAAATGTCATAAACGACTTGTTGATATAAAATCCTCTTTGTTCCCAGAACCACCTCTCATGGGGCCAAATGTTACCTCAGATCGCATGACGTATGTCGGAGGAGACCACATAAGGGCTAATTGTTCATCCCCTCCATCGCTCCCAGCTGCCAACATCACGTGGTACGTGAACGAGCAAATGGTAAGTACAATAACGCTGTTTGGTGGACACTGTAGACAAACACAAAGGATTCTAGCAGGGGATTAATCAAATTATTGGATCGGAAGCAACTGCAACTAGCGAATATAAAATAGCTATTTTATTATTACGAAGCGTAACACATATGTTGTGCCTCAAATTTCTCTCTTGAATAAAATATCACCAGAAATTAGGTGTGAAGGTCGTATCTTAATGTCTCAAGAATTAAAATAGAGAGTTCGAATATGAAGTAAACTACGTTGATAAATGCAGAATTCACGGAGTATAAAAAACTGTTTCATCTTAAAATATTCTTTACTATGTATACAAGTATACAAAAGACTAAAAATATACTCTTAATGAAAAATGCTTAAATAATCTACTTTGTACCTGGCACTTTGAGAACCCATGACTTTTCGCAATCCAGGCAATTGTTCTAACGTTAGCATTTTTTCAGTATACAATTATGAATGTAAAATTGACCAAATATAATCAAGTGGATCAAGTATATGTTAAATATTACTTACGAATATTCTAATTTAAACCATCAGATTAAGTGTATAGGTATTATAAAACATATTTCATTTTCTTTAGTTTAAAATATTTTATTTAAAATTTAATAATGTCTATTTAATAATAGTCAACGTTTCAATATCTAGGTTTCTCGCAGAGAGATATTGCTTAATTTGCATGTTACATGTGTAAATTTGCAGTGCAATATTAAATGCTTCCATGACACATATGAGAAAATGCTGGTTAGAGAAAATATTAGAATGCAGCGAATGTTTTCAAAATTAAATATAGTAAGGAAGAACTTTTAATCTTCATATCATGAGCTGGAGTTTTACTGTGAGCTTTTAAATATGGTGCAAATCTCGTCATTAAATTGGCACACACATATACATTGGCACACACATATACAGTACAGACATTTTTGAGACAGGAGAAAAATACATAAGAGTATATCTCAATGACTATACTATATGACCGTCCTTGCTGAGTTGAGATATAAAACATTTTTTTTTACTATAAGATAAACTAAATAACAGTAGCCTTTACGACATAGGCAGCTGTATGTGTAAGCTTAAAAATATCAAATGTTTAAAGAAACCACGACTGTCCAAACACGCTATAGAAAAGTTCTTTGTCTACACTTCACCAGCCAGGAAATACAGGATAAAAATTTCAAACAAGTATCTTTCGTACAAATGCGAAGAATCCGTCAAACATGTTTTACAATTTGCTAGCTTTCCGCCAGCGGCTTCGCTCGCGTGGTTATGTATAATACATATAAACCTTCCTCTTAAATCACTCTGTATATTAATGACGTATTTAAATCCTTGTATTGTTTAAAAGCGCACAAACGACTTTTTTTTTTATTATAGTCATTAGTACGCGAAGTATCATCCATCGAGTGTGCAAGGTTAAATTTCATGTCATACATTTGTCACTTCTGATGTTTTCTGCAAACCAAAAATTGTGTGCATCATCCGTCAGATATGTACCAACCCTTAATATTATTTAGAATTAAATTTCTATTTAACAAAACAAAAACACAAAATTCGGCCAAGTTCGTGTCGGACACATGTGCCAAGGCTTCCTTACAAAGCTGTAGGTATATTGTGATGAAACAAAAAAAAATAAGGTTTTCGAAATTTTTCCTTTATATGTGCTATAAGACGTTACTTGGTACCAAATTTCAAGATTCAGAGCTCACGGAAAGTACCCTGTAGGTTTTGATTCCCTTACCAGTTTCTAAAATTTGCGGAAATTGCGGCATAAACGGCTGTATCATTTGATTGCGTTGGCTTAGAAGTTTGTTTTTTTACAGCTTCAATTGACTTTTATTCTATTCAAGTAAATTAGTGGTTGACATATATATTTTGTCAACAGGTGCCCGGATTCACTGCTAACCATGTGAATAACTTTAGCAACGGTTATGCATCTAGTCTAGCTACTTTAGAATTGGAGGCTGCACTACTATCTCCGGTGCCTACCCTTATGATAAGGTGAGAATATACCTATATAGATAACTTGTTTATGATATACCACGAAAACTTTTTCTACGTCCTGCTTTTTTGATCACATTGTTTTCAAGCATTGAATCTTCAAGTGCAACTTCTTTATAAATTTATAGAAATTTTGCGGTTTGTGCTTCTTAACTTGCAGTTCCCTCGCATTTATATCACTCCCTATAAAATTTTATATGTTCTGTGATTTCTTTTTCTTCATCATAAACCCTAATAATTAGCCTAATGTATATCTCTCAATAATATTCATGTGCATACCATACTAAAACTTGCCTCTCAGATTTTGTTTTTCGTAGTAGTACCTACTGCAGTACTAGCGTATTATTTTCAAACTTAATAATTTTTTTATCTTTTCTAGTCTATTCATTTTGAATTAATCTCTCAAAATTTTAATTTGTTCTGCATTTTCATATCTTTTTCATCCTTCCTTGTTCACTGTCAAACATTCGCATCCATATTTTAGGAAATAAGACCTTTTATGGATTTGTAAATTTTACCCCTCGATAAGAGAGAAACTTTTCACTCAAAAGCTTAAATTTTACCGTTCAGAATCATCTAACCATACTCTTATTTCAGATGCGAAGCTTCCATCTTTGACGTGTGGAAAGCAACGAGTCATACTATAGTATTGAGGGAGAGAAGTGCGAGCCCAGCTTCCGCTTTAGGAAGAAGTTTCACAGGTAATTTATAAAATTTGGCCGTAGCAATAAAAGCGCAAATGTACTTAATTTATATTATGTTATGTGAAATGTATTCCGAAGAACAACAGAACTTTATCAGTTTGGATTAGTTAGTTAAATTTTTACCAATGTTATCACCGGTATAAAATTTTAGATGACTAATTTTAAAAAGCCAGTACTCATTATAAACATTTTGTTGTGCCAAAAACGAATTCATAGCCATAATCTAAAAGACAGTTAGCCCCATACCGTTCAAAACGGCCGCGATCTTCCTAATTTTATATTAAGAAAATTAAGAGAAAATTTAAAAATTACGGCGGCTTATTTTCTTCCTAGACAAATCTTGATCAAATTATTACTTCTAATCTTGCAGGAGCGGCAGCGGAAACTTGTATACCGACAATTTTGGTTGTACTTCTACAAATTCTCCTACAATTCTTGTTAGGCAGTTATACCGAAACATCGATAAGATAGCTGCCTTGTGGTGAATAGATGACGTGACATTAATTCCGTGACTCCACTCTCGGTAGTTAATAATAAGTATTACTTTGAGAGTTGTATTCGTAATATAAGTGGCCTAATTCTTCTAATTGGGACAACCCCAAGGTTTGTTAAAACATATGAATATAATAAGATTCAATGTTGAAACATTTTGTCTTAATATTAAGAGCTTTTTTTTATAAATTGTAACATTATGCCTAATTAAGCGGAATGTTGTTTAAAGTTACACATTGTTTTAGCAAAAAAAAGCAAAGATTGTTAAGTTAATTGTAGTTAAAAGGTCGTAAAGCAGATGTTTAACTTTTAACACAGTTTTGTGATAAAAACTGTTTGAATTTTTATATGTTTTATGATATATTTCTGTTAAAAATGGAAAAAATATGTTTGGTTACTTTAAAACGTGGTTTTTAAGTAAATCAATAATTTTAATAATAATTCTTATTTATTCGTGTTTAGGAGCCATGCTGTTGACATAGACTGATTATATTGAATAATTTACATTGTAAATAAAATTGTAATAAGTATTAGTGAATTGTTTGTAAATATTTATTGTGAGCTCTCGTGTTTACTTCGTTTTGTTCAACTCGAGATTGTCATTACAATTAAGTAAATACTATAAATATTAGATGCTTGCAATTTCAGTCTAAATTTAAGTAAAGTTAATTTACTACGCATTAAAAATCAAAAACTAAGATATATACGTTATTATAGGCCATAACTAAGGCCAAATATGCCAAAAACTTGCGAACGAGATTTTTTTATTTCTTCATTAAAACCTTGGTCAATAATACTACCAAATGAACTTTTATTATAGTAATCTCAAGTTGAAGAAATAATCTTACGTCATTTTAATACGTAAGAAATTGTTTGTATTTATAACTTCTGCTATAAAAAATAAATACTATAATTTTATTTCACTATACAATCTCGTTTTAATTTATAATAAACATTATGATGACACTCATACCTACCACACACAAGTTTTCTCTTTTTCTTTTATTATTATTATTGGAAATGTTCTTAGTCTATAATTATATGTTTCGCGTTCGTAATATATTGTAAACGGGGGTTTCTCCACATTATAAAATAATTTATCATTAAAAACACTTCAGGGAACCGTCTATTCATAGCTAAAACGAATGAAATCTTACCAAAGAAATCCGACTTTAAAGGCTCGCATCGGTTAGTATGGTTATGCGTAGTGCAGAATCATACATTCGATTAAATAATAGCGCTCAAATAAACGCTTATTGGAATACCTAAGTAACTCGACACAAATCAACGATCATATTCTGTTTTGCACTAATATTTACACATAATTATCCTGTTTACCCCCAAGGAACAAATTCGTCTAAAGTGTAATAAAAATATTCTTGTTACTAGTATCTTGGGCTGTACTCGAACAGTGCTACTTATAAACAAGGTTTAGCGTTGGAGTAAATTTACGCTGAGATTGCTCATCGTATTAGTCAAAATTCATATTTTTAAACAGAGACTCAACAACGGTTAACCTAGTACGAGGTTCTACGGGAGTAATATTTGCTCCTAGAAGGTAGTAGATTTGCTTATTCTCTGTGTAATATGAATATGGACTAATACTAAAATTGCAATTTTAGCGTAAATTTCAATAAAGTCAGAACGTTAAACCTTGTTTATAAGTAGCACTGTTAAAATCTAAGTTCAGTTTGTCGTAAACTGTTCTAACTTGGGTATTTTTAATAACAAGTAGGAAAGAGAACGATAAAGATGACAAGTTATGAAAAAGTTTTTTTTTTCGGAGTAAGAAAATATGATCACAAATGTTATTAATAAAATACAATTAAAAGCTTTAGCCGACTGTCTTCCTGATTTTTCTCAGTACATTTTCGTTTACTATAGATTTGTCAAGCGCTTTTAAAAGATTATAAATTTGAAAAGATATTGAATTGTATTCATGGCTCAAATTAATCAATGTTCCGTTTTGTCCTAGAATTGTGTCAAATGAATATAACCAATCATTAGAAACTGTTTTGATAAAATGTATATTTTCCTGCATTTTTTTACATATTACCTATTCCATTAATATTTACGAAGTTATAACTTTAAATAAATTTTTGGCAAGATGAAAATTTTTCCTCCAGTTTCAATGCATACATTGTTAATTTTATTGTTAGATTAAGATTTAATTTATTGAACTGTTTATTTACAATTGTTTTGCATTGTTGGTAATTATAACATAGGATTTCCCTTATGATTCATCATCGTCAACAGCCCTTTTACGTCCCAACTACAGGGGTTTATGTTTTCCTTGCGAATGGTTGAGGATGATGGGTCATAACCTTCTACGCTGGCCCAATATGGATTGGTGGATATTGACGAATGCAAATGCAGCCGGGACCAATGGCTTAACGTGCCTCCAGAAGCTGGAGATAATATTTACTGAATAATATAACTATTTACCAGAAAGAGCATAATTGTTTTATGAACTCCTTTTTATTAAATCTTTTATCAAGGAATCCTACTGTTATATTTTCTAAAAATCAACTTCAATGGCAAACATATGGCTGTGTGTATAATAAATGTAATATAATTCACATTAAAGTTTTCACTTGTTGTGTTAAAACATTTCATACTTTATTAGATAAAGAAGATGGTTCATATTAAAATGTAAACAAAAGTTGTGTTAAATTATTTAAGCTGTGCTTCTAACCGGTGTGGACATGATACGTCCGAATACTGCTTAATAAACTATGCAAATTTAAATTGAATCCATCCCTTACTTAAGTGCTTCAGGTAACAGCTCACCAACCGGAGTATTTAATTTGTTTTCAAAGTTTATACTTTCAAAGCTTATATTTTATCTTTATTTTATTTATATAGTATAGTCTATATATAGATTCAAAGTATTCTTTTTCGTGAGTTTAATGTAAGCACTTAATTGTTTCGGGTTGTATAAAGAAATTGAAAATTATGTTGCATTATTATAATTAGTTATTCAGGATTTTTTTTTTTCATATAGATTCGAAAGTTTATCCTACGCACCGGTTATTACAACACTTAAATCGTTTTTGTAAATAGTTTAGAACAGAATGTCTTAAATCCAAACATAGTTAATGATCGTGTTAAAACTTTATTTAACGGTACTGAGAATATTAAAAGTATCGAAAGATTTATTATTGTTTTTTTTTTCTTGAACGCTCAATCGAAAATCATACTGTAAAAGGTTTTAGAAATAATCAGTAAACGATCAGGGATTATTATAATTGGTTCTAATTCAACGACAAGACGGTGCAGTTTAATCGTACGAATTTAAAAATACACTTGTCCTTATTAAAACTCATTTATCGTTTTAGAAGAGCCAGTAATACTGCATCCACTAATCGCAAATTTTCAAATAGTTTTCTACAAAAATTCACGCCAAAAACCCTAATGAATAATGAGATTTTTTTCTATAAAAACTAACATAATCAAACGTTAAATTATATATAAAATTTACCTTTAACTACGCGTTTAGTTAGATTGGATTTACAATGGAATGATGCTAACTCCCAGACCTGGACTGTTCTGGGTTAAATTGAGTTATTTATTAGGCCAAGTTTGAGTGTGAAACTGTTTCGCGTTTAATATCATAAACTCGGAAATAGCTCTAGCAAGGACCTGGACTACAGCCATGAAATTGTTCAATCGTTCTCGTAACTCTCGACCGGAGATATTAAATTATTAAACACCTAATTTATAATTTGAATAGCTGGAATATTGTACAATATTGTTATCTGTGTTTACATCAATCAAATAATAATGTTTGAGTTATACATATTAAAGTATCATTATTTTAGAATCCCATAATATTCTAAATCCCCATAAGGCTACGTTCACATGGCGACCATTCGATTTGATTTTTATATAGCGTATACGTGATACGCTTCTCACGGTAACCAATTTTTTCTCGACTGTAAAGGAAGGGTTATATTTTTCACGTTAGATTTGTCTTAGTAGCTCAAGTGTTCTTAAATAGGTAACATTAAAAAAATCAAATATGGTGGCTGTGCGACGCCATTATACTAAATGATAAAAAAGTATCAAATACTACAATATGGGTATCAACTTTAAGGGCTCAATATAAAGATTTCAAAAAGTTATATCATGTGTAGCATTACTAACAAAAATTATAATATGACATAGTTTAAAAAATTTGGAAGTTTGCAATTTTTTCCAAAAAAAAATCTTAAAATTACTTATATTATCAACTTTATGTTAATTTTAATAGTAGTAAATGAACTGTAAGTATATTTATAGAAATCAGCTATCAACACCCGAGAACCACAGGGATATCAGAAGTAGCAAAATTTTTCTTGATTAGGCATGGATTTTTTTTTATATACTGAGTATGGGAGTATATTCATTTAGATCACGCCCTAATTAAATTTATGAAAAAAAATACCTCGCGGGGCGGGGCGGTGTGACGTAAATGTAACCACCGGCCGCTTAGCTTGCGTCCATTATGTTCAGATATTATATTGTTTGTTGAACATTCGCTACTTGTATTTCAGTTTTATTAAAATTTATTATATATGCATATATTGATATTGCATTCTGTCATATTTTATTTTTAAAAACAATTAATATACATTAAATTATTAATGAAAAAAAAAATATTCTAAATTCTTAGTACCGCTAAATATATTCGTAATATATTGCAACACAATAAGGTTGCCTAATTGTGCATTAAATTGAAGTGATTGTAGTATTTAAAATACAATGAGTAAGTAAATAAAAATATTAATAAAAGAAGTAATAATTGTATTAAATTGTTTTATTTCAATTACCACATAGGGTCAAATAAAATAGTCATTGACATTTGTTATAAGTGAATATTTACAAAAATGAATACTTTGTGAAATGTATAATTTTTAATAGAGATGATGACATGAAACTCATTATTATGCAAATTCCAGTCAAGTGGTTACTAGAAGTGTTTTTAAAGAGCTGCTATTTTATACAAAATTTTATGTAAGGCGAGGGGATTTATGTTACCGAATAAATCACATCATAATACATATATACATATATATGAACATTATAAGGAAAATCTACAACTACTGAAGTAACAAAAAGGAGACCTCTAAGAAGA